AAAACCTTCATTTGAAAACCAGATTTCATAGCCACAAATAACTCATATTGCTCAAAATAAACAGAAGCACTAGGCATAACTCAGTTACAGATGATAAAGAGGTTCTTTAAGGACACTCAGATAAGTGTTGAATAAAACTAACTGTGTTAAAGGAAGCTTCAGGGCGAAGGTAAACAAACAGGGGGCTGCTGGCTATGGAGTGTCTTTCTGCGCATGACCAGGATGGTGTGTCAATACAGGTGTGAGTGAGCAAGGGAGATCACAGAGAGAAACATAAAATGAGGCTTTTTGCTGCTTTGCCAGTGCTCATTGTTTCAGCAATGCAATAGCTGTAATAATAATACCTCCTAATTTTAGTTAACAGCTGCAAAACGGTAAATATGCACTGCAAATGTCAAACAAATGCAGAAATGGCAGGTTCCAGGCCGCTACGCTGTAAACACATTGAGGATCAAGAATACCTTGTCATTATGAGCTCCACAAAGCGTAGGATGAGAGTTCATCTCCCTCCACTCTTTCTGATTAGCTATTCCAGTCATCATAATGATGCGTTTCAAGTGCTGGAAAGTCATTTTTTATGCATCTACTGGGATACAAGAAGACACTGTGCAATGATAGATTAAAGACCAGGCTTTGACTACCAAAGACCTCAAGCTGACAATAACCGATTATACCAATAACAATAATTAGATTGGCCGATAACAGATTAGATCATTCTACAAAAAAACAACAAAAGGTCCAAAGTAAAATAATGCTAATGATAGTGCATTAAGAGAAACAACCTAAATTATGATGCATTAGTAAATGCAGAAATAACAAACTACCAATCAACAATACTTCTTCAAAAAATGTTTTACCTATGAATTAAATGTAAAAAATGTAACATTTCAATTCAAATAGGCATGGATGCGCTGGGCATCAATACTTTACAACTATATCTATATTCTTTACAAATAATACAGATATAAACTCTCACATTTAAATAGCTTCTATTTCAAAATATAAAATAATTTCTGATTTATTAATTTCTCAGGCAGGTAAATGGACATATTAATTTAGTTTCTTATGTCAATAGCTTTAAATGTGCAACTTCTGGGGCAAACAAATGAGTGACCAGATGAAAATAAACAAATTCAAATAGATTTTCAATGCAGACATCAAACATTTTGGATAGACTTGCAAGTATTTTGCCACATTGTTTATGGCAGTAATTTTAGCGTGCTCTCTGCCTAAAAGGGGACCAATGATGCAAAAATCATAAGTGGTTTAATAAGTGTGGCAACTTTAATAAGTGGTTTAAACACAGTTGTGTGGCAACAGTCTGTTAATTTAAGCAGCTTCTGAATTTTTAATTCAATCAATCACTTTGATTGACATTCTCCCTTATATGTCATCAATGTCCAGCCCATTAGCAACAGCCTCTCCCTCATTAGCATAGGACGCAAGTCTTGTTTTTGAATCTGCCACTATGCTGATACAATAGCATTTGTAGCTCCGGCCTCTTTAGAATGAGGGCTAGGAGCACAATATTATTTTAATTTATAGCCAAATACTAAAACAAAAATGGCAACTTCTGGGGCAAACAAATGAGTGACAGGATGGATATGAACAGATTCAAATATATTTTCAATGCAGACATCAAACATTTTAGCTACACTTGTGAGCATTTTGTCACATTGTTTATGGTAGTATTAATGATAGTGTGTTCTCAGCCTTATTGGCAAATGCTGCTTTTCTCTACTAAAGAAACAAATTCAACCTTGCCAAAAAAAAAAAATCAGTTTTCACCAAAATAGAGAAACCGTTTCAGCACTTTTTGTGTAAGCAAGTATTTACAAAAATGTCTCTGTCACTGTTTTCAAACTATATTTTATTTACCAGTCACTCAAGTGGAAATTTTACATCAGCCACATCCATAATGGAAAAGTGTCACATCCATAACAAAGTTTTTTCCTTTTAGATGCAAAAATGTCAAATAAAATAAAATCAATCACATTTGCTCTACAGAGAGCCAACTCTTATCCTTTTGATTGGCATTTTTTTACTTTTGGGTTGTGCAGTTTAATTCACAGAATTTCTGCAAAGTATGTTGTACACAGTAAACTAGACTTTTTTTGGTCACATCCATAACACATGTTTTTTTTACTCATTTGAAATATCAAAATGTTTACAGATTGATATTTTTCTGCTCCCATAACTCTGTGGTTAGTAGTTTTGGAAAATATAAACAGATGTTTCAACATAACGTTTATTGTTATCAATCACAAAACTTCTAGTCAGGATATCCTAAGCCCAGGCTCACTGCAAATACTTGCCTCAGCCAATAGATTTGTGCAAAATGTTAAATCCTTTGCTCTAGAAGCATTTCGTTGCACATTTCAGAAAACAAGTCCACTAGAGGCCTATGTCTACTTTTTTGGGAATCAGAATTATGTTACTGAAGTTACTTTTTGGTGGGAGTTTCAAACAAACATCCTTCTTAAGCATGTCTATGAGAAGGTGAGGCTTGTCATACAAATCATCTAGTGAAACACCGACCTAAACACAAACAACAATGTAAATTAAATTGTAACAAAAAAAAAAAAAATCAGTTTTTGAAACAAATGAAGACGGCAGAAGTCAGTAATTCATTTGACCTGACATTTTTACTGTCACAAATTATTTTAAATGTTTCTCAAAATAGAATATATTGTGTTCACAAGGGGAAAACTTTTAGTTTTTTACCCAGACATTTAAAAATAATATATTTTAGAGCAATAATCACAATATCGCGAAACCGTATTATTTTTATACAAGGTTATCATACAGCCAGAGTCTTATACAGGCTCATGCCTAATATACATATCTCTATTAACAGGAGTTTTCTCGGTGGTCAGTTTGCAAATCCTTTTTTTAAATTATGAAAATTATCATTTTACATCACTTTTCTACATCAATGGATACAGTAAGTGACCGCATGGGCATTGCCGACAAAGAGCATGTGTTTGTCTGCATGGAAATGTATTATCTTCCCTCCCTGTTAAATCTGATCTAATCCATGTCCTGAAACACACCCCCTCTTCTGCTTTCACTTCCCATTCAAACGAAGGGAGTGATTCGTTTGTGAATGAGTTTTCATTATGAATGACTCCTTCACTTATAATACAATAATACAAGTTTCTAGCACTGCAGCATCTTGTTGTCATATTTCATGTACATTGTTTGCTGATTTTATTCAACCAAACTAGCATAAGCCTATAGTATCGAGTGCGATTTGGTCCTACTTTGCCTTATAGTCAGTGCAGTAAAAGACTGTATTATCATCAATGCTTGTTTAGAACAAAGTTCCCAACGTACAAAATCGTAAAACTTAAATCTTACTAAATGTTCTGCCTTTGTGCTTTGTTTTCTTTGTTTGTTCATTAATACACCCGTACACATCGCTGAAGTCCAGCATCTTTAAATTGGCTAACCGCACTATTTGTCATAGGAGCATTGTACAAATGTGGCGGCCCTATTGACGCATACTCAGGGTCTGTATATCTAATGTATACATCTATGCATGTCAAGTACAACAAATGTACACAGTCAGCTACTGACCAACTGATCAAATCAAAGACACTGTGAAGTTTTTGTGGTATTTGTTTGGTGTTGTGGAAATAACTACCTTTATTAAAAGATAATGGGTTTCTATAAAAATCAGTGTGAAAAGGAACAAAATTCGGTGCCGTAACGCTGCCCTGTGGTGTTCATTTCTACCTGGAAACTGCAGTCAAATGAATGTTAAAGTATACTTAACAAAAATGCAGAGTAAAGTTGTTGATGAAAGTCAAATCTAAAATGTATACTCATATAATTTCTCATTAAAGACATTACATTAACATGCAAAAAGAAGGACTCTAAAACCAAACTCTAAACCAAATGCTCTCATTTGAACAAAGCTATTTAAAAAAAAAACAGTACATCTAGTATAAAACAGCCTCATGAAAAGCTGCAACACAGGACTGATAAATACATCAGTGACTGCAATCACAAAACAGAGAACCATGAATCAAATCAAAATCAATAGGCAAGCGTGTATGCTCCAATCATTTACAAATTCACACCCAAATTCATACAAAACCTCATCCCTAGAGCAAATGCTTTATACCCTTGCACATGCAAATTCACACAGAGTGAGCTCTGCTTGCTTAACTCTAAAGGATTATTGAAACCTATTAATCAGATGAAATGAATGAAAGGCAAAGACCAAACAATGCTTTTCAGGCTGTCATAAGAGAGAGTGTTGCCCTTAAATCAATAGCACAAATAAAAAGATGTAGTGAGCCTAACGAACATCTTTTTTTACATATCCAAAAGAAGCAAATCTATAAATAAAAAAAAAAACAGGCATCGTGGCATACCGCAGACTGAACAAGTGAGATGGACAGTTTTTTTCACATTGAAAGTGTTAACTGGAGACGTGGAAGACACATGTAGTACATCTGAGCATGTCTGTGTTGATTGCATCTTTTAATATAAGATGTAATAAATTAAATAAGAAAAACGTGCTAAATCTATGGCAGTAACAACATCTTCAAATGATTACCTCTATAAGACATACTATTCATTATTGTACCAACATTATTTAGCTTTGTAAGGAAATAAATACAGTGATAAACGCTGGTATTAAGCCTGACAGGTGCTTGATGGAGTAACGTTAAAAGATAAACAGCTGTAACGTTAGCATATTCAGAACAGATATGTAAAAAACTAATAAATAATGTATAATATTCGTCACCATAGACTAGAATCGCCGCTTTTCTAAGCTGCCTATGATTTTACGACCACACAGCCATTTTACAAACAATTAAACACAATTTAACACGCTTTTGGTCGCTCTCTTTCGCGTATATGGTTGACTACAATGTTTGTTTAACTTACACAACAGATTTTGTAGATATCTGTGAAACATGAGTCACATTTTAAAGGGCGGTACAGCCTTATGTTCACTTGGCTTTATTTGTTTTACTCTCACTTACCTCCTTCTTCACGTTTCGCAGGAGTCTCTGACGGGTTTCGGCTTCTGGGAAAGAAAGAACATACAGAAAATAAGAATTTATTAAACTGGGATAAGTCAATAAGTTAAACGTGCGTATATTATGGTAAAACAAAAGCCGTGTTTTGCCTCACCTGCTGTTGTGTTTGCCATGATTGTTATTGTGCGGCTCGCTCTCTCCACTCCACAGACGACCAGCACTCGACTAGATGAAGCCTCAGCGGCTCTTTCTCTGACAGGCAGCAGGCTCCACTGAGAGATCACGTGACCCACCGTAGTGACGAACTACAGTAGTAATATCATGTAGTTATAATATTCCTCGAGTGAGTTTGCCGTAAGAAAATGATCTTTTATTTTATATATATATATATATATATATAAATATATATATATATATATATATATATATATATATATATATATATATATATATTTTTTTTTTTTTTTTTCCTCCTGTATTTTATTACTGTTTTAGTTTAGGTACTTTCTTGTTGTATTTTTTTTTTTATTAAAAAGAAATGCCGTTAGGGTAGCCGCAAGTGTTTTGGTTTCTCGTAGGTAAAACGTAAGCTATAACGTTAGATATTTTCAGTTATTCTCATTTACACCTATTCGTTGATTTATTTACATTCAAGCTCTCATATTATTCATTGATTCATTTTCTTGTCGGCTTAGTCCCTTTATTAATCCGGGGTCGCCACGGTGGAATGAACCGCCAACTTATCCAGCACATTTTTACGCAGCGGATACCCTTCCAGCCGCAATTTCTGGGAAACATTCACACACACTACGGAAAATTTAGCTTACCCAATTCACCTGTACTGCATGTCTTTGGACTGTGGGGGAAACCGGAGCACCCGGAGGAAACATGCAAACTCCACACAGAAACGCCAACTGAGCTGAGGATCGAACCAGCGACTCATCGACCTTCTTGCTGTGAGGCGACAGCACTACCTACTGCACCACTGCGTCGCCGCTCTCATATTAAAGAGCATATTTTATTGCTCAAGCCCAGTCCTGTATGTGGAACAAGCTGTCATTAAATGAATTCTGCTTTACGCCAGTAACATACCGACTATATTTGTCTAGGCTAGGGAAACAGACCTACCGATATACATTTTCTCTTCATTCATTAATTAATTAATTCATTTTCCTTCGGCTTAGTTCCTTAATTCATCAGGGGTTGCCACAGCAGAATGAACTTATCCAGCATAGGTTTTACACAGCGGATGCCCTTTCAGCTGCAACCCAGTACTGGGAAGCATCCATACACACTCATACAATACAGGCAATTTATTTTATTCAATTCACCTATACCGGATGTGTTTGGACTGTGGTGGGGGAAACCAGAGCACCTGGAGGAAGCCCATCCAAACGCAGGGAGAACAACATGCTAACTCCACACAGAAATGCCAACTGGCCCAAAGCCGCGATTCAAACCAGCAACCTTCTTGCTGTGAGGGGACAGTGTCACAGTGTCGCCCCACATTTTCATTCATAATACAAAATTCTTTTAAGGCTTTGTTGAAAATACATAGATAGTTTTGAATTTAACCTTTCTGCCTGCTTAACAGGATCTCATGAAGTGTTAATTTACGTTAACCAAACAAATATTGATCATGGAAAATGTTAAACAGCCTTGACGGACAGGTCACATGACTAGCTGATTGCACCCTATGGTGCACCTCCTGCTGTCAAGTTTTTGTTGTTGTTTTTAAGCTACAGAAGCTAATTTAAGCAATTAATATGGAAGGGTATTTGAGACGAAATTTGTTTTCTACAGCACAATTTAAATCAGAGAAAATAAATGAATTGTTTGCAATTTAAAGTTCACATGAAATCGTTCATTCATTTTACTTAGGCTTAGTCTCTATTCAGAGGTCACCACAGCGAAATGAACCAACAGCTTTTCCAGCATGTTTTTTTTATGCAGCGTACTGGGAAACACCCATACACACTCTCATTCACACACACACATACACTATGCCCAATTTAATTTATTCAATTCACCTATAATGCATAACTTTGGACTGTGGGGGAAACCGGACCAGAAGAAACCCATGCCAACATAGAGAGAACACGCAAACTCCACACAGAAATGCTAACTGACCCAGCCTGGACTAAAATCAGTAACCTTCTTGCTGTGAGGCGACAGTGCTAACCACTGAGCCACCGTGTAAAATTAGCTTTTTTTTTTTTTTTTGCAAGTGCAGATAGAATCTTGAGGTGAACAATTAATCCATACAAGCTAATCTACTGAAAAAAACTGTATGTTTTAGGTAATCTTTAATCAAAATCTAGTCATCTGATACCACTCCGGAATGGCAGTGCTTCTCTGATGATGTCAGTCTGACGGCTTGGTCTTAATATCCTAAGCCACACCGCCACATTAGTTTGCTGTTGAAAGATTAGAGGAGGAGCACAAAAATAAACCTCATCTCTAAGATCCCATCTCAATTTTTTTTGGATCCCATCCCTACTCAAAATTCCATTTCAGATGGAAATATGTCAACATTTTCCAATAAAAGACTGCAGCAACTCATTCATTCATTCACTTTTGGCTTAGTCCCTTATATTATCAGGGATCACCACAGCAGAATGAACTGCCAACTTATCCAGCATATGTTTTACACATTGGATGCCCGACCAGCTGAACCTAGTACTGGAAAACACCCACAAACTCATTCACAGAATGAATTAAATAAACTAAATTGGCTGTAGTGCAGGTGCTACAGCCAATTTAGTTTATTTAATTCACCTATGCATGTCTTTGGAATGTGGGGAAAAAGGAGCACCCAGAGGAAACCCACATCAACACAGGAAGAACATGCAAACTCCACACAGAAATGCTAACTAACTCAGCTGAGACTCGAACCAGCAATGTTTTTGCTGTGAGGTGACAGTGCTAACCACTGAGCCACCGTGTAGCCCTCTGCAGCAACTCACTGATTTTAAATCCTGATTGAAACCACATTTTGCTCCTTAGTGTTCGTTCATAAGACAGTCAATTTACCCCTTTTGCTGGACAATGTTCTCACTTTGAAATAGTCTAGCTGAGGAACAGGTCAAAGAAGAATTTGTAACAATCTTACAGCACCAAACCCTTAGCAGCTACACATGTTGCTAAGCAACACAGTCGGGCCCCATTAACAGACCTAATTGAGTAAAGTCTGGGGAAAATCTGTGATCTTTTCACCACATCTCTTGGGAAAATGCCACCAAATTGTTGAGGTAAGAGTTACATTTCATCTAGACAACTGAGTCATGGAAAAAATGATGATTTAAAATATTATGAACTGAGGTAAAAAGTTAAAGCAAAGCTTACATTAAAGATTGCGATTCTCAAATTCATTCTCTGTTAATACTACATTGGTTACCAAATGCTCCATGTTTTATTAAGTAATAAAAAACAGAACCATATTTAGAGTTGAAAATACAGAATATGGGATCATGGTGGGGCAGTGGGTAGCACGATCGCCTCACAGCAATAAGATGTGAAGTTTGCACATTCTCCCTGTGTTCGCGTGGGTGCTCTTCCTCCGGGTGCTCCGGTTTCCCCCACAGTCCAAAAATCTGCCGTATAGGTAAATTAAATAAGCTACATTGGCCGTAGTGTATGTGTGAGAATGTAAGAGTCTATTGGCGTTTCCCTTGGGTTGGGGCTGGAAGGGCATCTGCTGTGTAAAACATGTGCTTGATAAGTTGGTGGTTCATTCCGCTGTGGCGACCCCTGATTACCATAAAGAGACTAAGCGGAAAAGAAAATGATTGAACGAATACAGAATATTCAATATAGTAAGTGTTTATGGTAATTTTGATCAGAGTTTTGGCAGCAAAAATCATGCTGAACGACTCTTCTTACTGAAAATGGCTAGTTAGAAGAAGGCACTGAAACAGAAATGAGCACGCAGAATCTGATTATGTATATTCTGGGCCTTGCCTTGGTAACAGCCTTGCCTGTTGTAGAAAAAAAGCAGCCACTTGATACCAACAGGCTTGCTATTGGTCATCATTGAAAGACTGAGTCATACGTAATTAATTAATTCAAGGCTCTAGTGTGTGACCGCACTTATGCTGATTGTGTGGGCTGTTTGAGGGAAACCCCAACACAAACTTTGCTCTATTGCATAACATGGACTGAACTGGAAACCGTTTTAAGATGAATATGCATACATGTTTTCTGTGATGATCAGTGGTGGAAAGAGTACTAAAAAATCAAGTAAAAGTAGCATTACTTGACCAGAAATGTAGTGCAAGTAGAGTAAAAGTATCTGTTGTAAATATTACCCAACATATGAGTAAAAAGTAGAGCTTTTAAAAGTGCTCAAGAGTATTGAGTATTACACTTTGAAAAGTACATGTGTTTATATGCAGTTTGTGCAGGGATGTGTCAACGTAACATTCTGTAGTGCATCTTCTTTTATTCCTATATTAATTTGTTCCTTCCTATGTTCCTTTCTTCATTCCTCCCTTCATTAGTTCACTCATTTATTCATTCGTTCGTTCAGATTTTTGTTATTTCCTTCATTAGGACTTTTGTTCATTCCTTCGTTTGTTCCTTCCTTACAGTAGTTTGTTCAGTCCTTCAACGAATCCTTCCATCATTTATTTGGTCCTTCCTTCATTCCTCCCTTCATTCGTTTGCTCATTCATTTATTCTTTCATTCATATTTTGTTCCTTCCTTCATTAGGTCCTTTGTTCATTCATTTATTCGTTCATTCTTTCAATCCTTCCTTAGCTAGTTCAGTCCTTCCTTGAATCCTTTTTTTATTTGGTCCTTCCTTTCATTCTTCATTTGTTCCATTTAGAAAATGTTTAAGGCTGTTTAGTGATTTCAGTCATCATACAGTCAACATCCTTCATTTTCTCATCAGTGACATGCAGTCTATTAAAAGTCTCTGGGTCATTGCGTGTAAAAATTTTGGACATCTTCTTGGACACTTTTAATGCTTCCAAAAGGTTTGCAGGGGGAATTAAATGTATGAATGTATTTAAATTACATCAAATTTGTTAATAAAATGTATACGTTTTCAGTGTTTTGAAGGTTATTAAGTGACTATTTTAAAGGTTACTATAGGTCAAACTATACAAATTTTGTGTCATTTTTTTAGGTTACAATCAGATAAAAACACCTATTTTACAAGAAACATGTTTTGTGAACACATAAGATGTCTATCGGTGCTCTAGAACTGCCAGTTTCAGACTGTTGAATGATATTTTTTTCTAGCATTGACTGGCGCATTATGCATTCACAATCAGGCAAAGAATTCTGACCCAGA